CCCCATAGGTTTATGTCATGCGATTTGTATGCGTCCAGAAATCTGCGGTAAACGTGAGGTTTAAGTGTTTTGATGAGTTTAAAGCGTATATGAAATGCAAATTACTTCACGAAATAGTTGGCCCACGACTGGTAGTACTCGCCGCCGACAGTACCCCTTAATTCCCCCCCATGATTGAACATGTGGTTAGTCTTCATCCAAGAGGGGGGACTCCAGGGGCTGCCGAAGAATTTTATTTTATGCGGACTTACTTTCAGCGCTCTTTGAATGTATGGGATCTACGGATCAGTTATTATGTATTAGTTGTGAATACAAAGTATGATTAATTAAATTTAATAGTTTTTGCATACTTTCCACTCCAAGTCCTCCTTTTGAAGGGCAAAGTGTTTGAGCTCCAGATCCCCGTCGACGTCATCATAAGAGTAGGGTCTGTCCGAGAAGTCTGTGCCAGCGATGGGTATTCTGGCCATTGAGTACTCGATGCCATTGTCCGAGAAGTAGCTATCAATCAGCAGATCAGCCAACGATTGGTTGACTGTCTTCAGCATCTGTCCCGTTGTGTCAGTGAAAGCGCCGCCAAATCCGAAGATTGTCTGATATTTCTGTGTCTTATCGATAGTCACGACAACCGTTTGGTCGGCCGTTGAGTCGATGGTTGAGCCGAACTGGAGTTCCGTTTCCTTAAACCTTTCGCCGGCTTTATTGCTCTCATAAACCGTTAGGAAACCACTCTTTGGGCGCTTGAGGGCCGGGAAGTCATCACAATATGTTTGATTACAGACACAGACTGTGTCCGCGTTTTCCACTTTTCTTACGATACATTCCTGTCGGGCGCCGACTGTTTAAAAAACATAATAATTAAATACTACTTACTAAGAGTTATAATAAATTTGTTTTAAATACCGGTAATAGCGAATAAGGTAAAGCAAATATGTAAAATCACATAAATTAAATGTTTGTCCATGCTTACTGTTGCCATATACTTAACAGGCTAAATAAAGCACTTATTTCTAAGTATTTATTAGTGTTTCTTATCATACGTTTTACTTTCCCGATAGATATAGTGAACTAAAGTATTTGATAATTATTTATAATAAGTATTCAATCGATTTATCAAAGTGTGTACAGTCTGTAGGACCTAACTGTACCCTGAATAAGATAATAAGTTATTTATTCTATATCATTTATGAAAGTGTTCTAATTATTTCAGATATACAGTAATATTAAATAATGGTGCAGTATTAAACTGACAAAAGTTGTTTGGTGGAAAATGTGCAGGATTAAATACTGTATCGATCGAAAATATTCTGTTGATTTAGACCACCGGGAGGAAAGGCTGTTTTTATTAATATTTTTATAAATGGACTTATAAAATAAGTAATTAGTGCATCGAATATAGCTAAAAAACTAACAAATAATGCATTTTAAATTTTAAAAAATCTTGCTATATAACATTTATAGGGCATTTTAAAGTTCCATTATTTATTGTTAATAATGGAATTTTGAAATGACCTAGAATAGTTATATAATGAGATATTTTAAAAATTTTAAATGCAAAATTTGTTAGTTTTTTTTAGCTCTATTCGATCCACTAATTAGATATTTTATATGTCCATTTATAGAAATATTAATAAAAACACCCTTTCCTCCTGGTGCCCTAAATCAACAGAATATTTTCGATCGATACAGTATTTAATCCTGCACATTTTCCACCAAACAACTTTTCTCTATCATTAATAGTCTTAATTCTATAATTGTTTAAAAATCAATTTTATGAAGCTACCCGCCCTCCCTGTCCTGTTGGTATTGATATATGGATAAAATAATTTTTTATGTATTTCCTAATTTTTAATTCTCTTTCGAATGGTGTATCGTTTGCAGAGATGAGCTTGATAGTTTTTGAGTTATAGCACATTTTACAAAAACTACCTGGGTTGAGATACCGGTGCTCGCATAAAATAATCAATTAGGCAGCTTATTGAGGCTTTAAACCATGTTTCTCATATTTAAAATTTTTATTTAAATTACCTGGTTCACAAATAAATAAAGTTTTACTGACTATATTTCACCTATCAAAACTTTTGCATACCCCTAATACAATCATTCATTTATTTTACAATTATTATTAAGGTTTAAATTAATTTTGTAAATTAATAATAATTAACTATGATTTTAGTTATCTACCTTTTGAACACAATAAATGTCATGACCACAGACATAATTATTGATTATTAATTAATAATAGTCTAATTATTATAAATATCTAGTTATTTACATATTATTAAAACATTATTTTGTAAACATAAGTTACTAACAAGTTGTAAGTTTTATTTAATAACGTCTTTAAATATACGACCAAGAACAACTTAATTTAACTATAAATAAAAATTGAATAAATCATATGAATTAAATGGGAATCATAGCAGTTTTGGTAAACTTGATCAATTTAATATTCATTTATTATAAGCTTCGACTAATTATATCATATATACTGTACAATTAGGCAGAGGACAGGGAGGTCAAGGCGGACAGGTAGCCTTTAACGACACGGCCATCGATGAGGCGTTTAATGAACTCGAGTTTATCGGAAACACATTACCCGACACTCCGGAGACCATTGCCAGCTATTGTCAGCACAAATCCAGTAATGCTTACCAAGAGTAAGTTACCATGTCTATGTAATGTAACTTATATTTCTAAATTAATTTAACGTACAGTATTATACTTTAAATAGTTTTATGTTTGCAGTTTGAGCAGTTGTTTCATTGAATATAATGAACTAGTACACTGTTCTTCGAAAGTAATTTTCGTTTTATAAATTTATAGAAAAATTAAAATTATTCAAAATCTATTTTAAATTCAGATCTGAAAATTTAACCACAAATACATCATATGTTTATAAAATAGAATATATGATCATTAGAAAGTTTTAATTGAAAATTAATTTTATAAAATTAAAAGTTTGATTAAACCGGTGTTCAAAAGTAATTTGCAATTTAGTAGTTAATCGAAATACAATTAAAATTTTAAGTTTAATTGTAGTTAATATTTAGTTGGCCGCCCTTTGAGTCAATCATACACTTAAGACGTCGAGGAACCGATTCGACCAACTTTTCGATAAAGTCTTTAGGCATTTGATCCCATGTTTCTTGAAGACCCTTAAAGAACCGTTCCCGTGATGT